CAAGAGGTGAGGGCACTGGTTTTCTATTCATATGTCTTTGCCCTGAAATAATCTCTGCCCACAAATTTGACTTTGCACAAGCTAATAAAAATATAATTATTCCAGAGAAAATTTGGGTTATGAAGTTTAGCCATCAATCTTATTGGTTATGTTGTTATGTTAATTGCTGAACATTTGTCTTCATTTTGTTTTATGTGTGCATTATGCATGTTTAATTCTATTACATATATTGTTATTTTTATTTTATGCATTACACTGTGAATATTTCATTGGGTTGTATATGAAGATACTGACTAGAATCTCAACTGTGGTGGACACAAATCAAATGTAATAACCAATTCCTTAGCATTAGATAACAAGGAGCAGTGGAATAAGGGGCATGGGATTTCACTCCATGCTAAATAGGATTTATCCCAGTGGATTCTCCATAAAACACAATTCAAAGGAATGATCAGGATGGAACCACTGTGAAATACAATACCACCAAAACAAAGGATATCAGATCCTCCAAAAGGATATCAGGGTCTTTCCTTATTAAAGAATAGATAATCCATCAAAGGGGGCCATATCTTGTTTAAAGGTCCAACTGAAATGAATCTAGAATATAATCAAATTTTGCCAAGCTATCATTTCTTAAAGGAATTATTTGTTTTCTAATCAATTAGTCTAAGATTTCATTAGTAAAGGCTTTACCATTGCCTTCTTTAATTACCTACCCCAAGCAAGGTCAGTCCTTCCTCAGCTAAGTTAAACAGCCAGAAGAATTGAACAAACAGGTAAAAACACACACACATTTTGAAGATTGGCAAGTTGAAGACAACATCAAAGCAATGAAAGAATATGGTGCACATGTATAGTTCCAGGTTATTTTATGTCAGCGCACTAAAGGCAGAAAAATAAATACTGTACAAATATGCTTTTAACTTTGCTTGATCCAATTCACCAAGATATGACTTTCATTTATACTAAAGCTATTATCCTTCTGCTTATTCATATTCATGTTACTATTAAATCAGGTGATTGAATTGGTTCTGTGAAAAGTATTTTGAGGAATGATACTGTCTGTCATCTAAGACATTCTTACTTCCTAGATCAGCCATGATTTCATTGATATCTCTCACAAAATAATGTTGATAAAAGTTTCTTCTTTCCTTTTATATGATTTTACAGTGATTTGGTTGTGAGATGCCCAGAGTTTGGTAAAATATATATACCTACCTACCTACATACCTACATGCATACTTGTTTAGAGTTTAGAATCCTGCATTTACACTTACAAAAGCCCATCTTGTATACCATGAGAAACTCGCCATGTCACATGACATGTCGCGACATATCACAACTCTTTTTGCATTGCTGGCAATAGGGTGGGCGCGGCTTCGGTATGATGAAACCGGACCGCGGGCCGGCAGTTTGACACCCCTGTTGTATACAGTATTCTTGAGATCCCTATTTCCCAAATATTTTCCACTCCAGCTTTATTCTTGATTAGACTTACTGCATTTCTTTAAAAAAGCTTCCACAGATTCCTACTATGGCTAAGAAAAAATAGTTTAATAGCTAGTTTTGGTAACAAAAATATAGAAGAGAACATTATCTAGTATAGTAATAAATAAAAATATTTATTAATACTGGATGGCCTAAAGTAAAAAGAGGTGGCATGTATTACGTAATTCTTTTATTTATGTTTTAGGAAGCTCACATTATTTTAACCCAGGCTTTTAAAACAGAATACATTTTATTGTATCAAAGCCACAGTTCTTTGGGAAACTTTCATTGCTGATTTCTTTTCACAGATTTTAGAGCAGTGCCGTACAATTATTTAGATTTGTTTCTGAAATGGTGTTTTATGCCTTGCAGGTTAATGAATTCAGTATCTGTTGGCAACGTCTCTTTCCAGAATAGCATGGGTGCTCCGGAAGCTACGTAGCAGTCTCTCTTTGATTTACACTGAACACTACAGTTTAGTGACCATTCCAAATTATAACAAGCACTGAAAAAGGCAACTTATAACCATTTTTCACACGTACAGTTATTGCAGCATCTCCATGGTCACATGATCAAAATTCGGATGCTTGGCAACTGACTCATATTTATGATGGTGGCAAAGTTCTGGGGTCATGAATAACCTTTTGCAAACCTTCTGACAAGCAAAGTCAATGAGGAAACCAGATTCACTTAACAACTATATTACCTATCTTAACAACTGTAGCGATTCACTTAAGAATTATGGCAAGAAAGTCGTAATATGTGCAAAAGTCACTTAACAACTGTCTTGCTTAGCAACATAAATTTTGGTCTCAATTGTGGTAGAAAGTGAAGCACCCTTCCAGAACTGAATTCAAAGTACTGCACAGTTCCAATTTACATGTGAAACCAAAGCTTATTGTAAACATTATTATTTTTTCTATAACTATGGAAATATTTAATCAACAACAGTTTCACGTTCTTTTAATTTGGATCAAGATTTGCCAGAGCAAGTAGCAACATTGACATAATCAAGTTGAGATCAAGTTGGTGTTCACTCTTAGTAACCACATAGCAACATACTGTACATATAATGTAATGGGTGTCATGTGTACAAAAAAAATTGTTTTCTCTAGTCACTTTCCATTTCTTCCCTGCATACTTTTCAAACTCAGTATAATACAGTAACATTTTTTGGATATTTTGTGTTAAAAGTTAGTGTAGATTGATACTATAACTTTAGCAAATGTGAACAGATAATCAGAGTTGATGTCATACTTTTTTTTAAATGAAGCCTCTGGGCAAGGAAAATGTAAAGATACAATTAACATCTTTTTCCAAATAATAGAAATGGACCACACCCACGGACAATCTGCTGAACTGAGTGCTTAATTTAATTTACCAGGCCTTAATTAGTTGTGCAAATGATAGAAACTTGAAATTCTATTGCCAAAAACTTTTGATAAATAAAGTGTTGGCTCAATCGCAATTATCAAGAATTCATTAAGTGAAAACTATGCCAATTCTTAAAAACAAAAGACCAATTTCCCCTATAAATAGTTATACATTATTGTATTACTGAGAATGTGCTGCAAATTATACTCTCCAGTTCATTACCTTGCAGGGAACAATTGTGACTTCACTTTATTTATGATAATTATAAACAGATGTTACATGAACCTTCATTTGTAAAAGTAATGATATTTTCTCTTTACATAACTGAAAATATATTTCTTTTCTTCCAGATTATTACAGACATTTGCAACTTTAATTAAACAGAAGTCTAGTGCTATTTACAGAATACAACTACATGTGATGTTCACGTAACTATCAAAATTGAGACCAACTACTCCTTCTCTAATCAATAAGATCATTAAGCGAGACATCACATCACGGTAACTTCCAATTTTACTGACAGATTCTCTATTGATTCTGCTTGTGTGAAGCCAGCTTTGAAGCATGCAAATAAGTGTTCACGTGAACGCAGGATGCTGCAAAGTAGTAAATTCCTGCTGGTTACAAATTTGATCACATTAACTGTCATAACTTAAAACAGTGGCAAAACAGGGCAGTCATTACAGAGGCAAACCTGGTATTGGTGTAATGGTTAAAGTATCAGGTAGGAATCAGGAAACTATGAGTTCTAGTTTCACCTTAGGCGTAAAGTCAGTTGAGTAACACTTTCTCTCAGTCTAGGAAGGAGGCGATGGCAAACCACCTTCCAAAAACCTTTTCAAGAAAACTGCAGGAACTTGTCTAGAGAATTGGATATGATTGAATTGGGGGGGGGGGGAAGAAACCACCTGGTATTTATATCTTGCTGTTCAGAATTATTGGAACATTTCTTGTTTGATCTTAATTTACCAGGGTTCTAAAGGTATGGCTAGAACAGTTTTTAACAGAAACACTCCTGGATTCACTCAAAAGTTTCCAGGTCTTTATCTATACCCACAGTATTATCATTGAACAATGGTGCCCATGGAGTCATGAGCAGATTGCCACTTGAATTATAGTCAGCAGAATTTTTTTCTCTTGTTTTCTCCCATGTATTGAAGCATTTGGGATGCTGCTTTTACTAGTGCTATTAGTATATTATTCTTTATCTATCTGGTCCAATAGTTGAAGTGTGGAATGCTAATGGCATCACTATACCTGTTCTCACCATAACCTTATTAAAGCACTATTCAAGCTGGGTGTCAACAGCAGCTTGAATATCCAAATAAACTAGCTACCCATGATTCACTTTTGACACTGGGCCAGTCTATACCTGGTCTTCTTAGACTATAGGGTTCCTCAAGAATAAACATTTTTTTGTAAAAGTATATGTGTGCATGTGTGTATATCTTGAAAAATGATTTTATGTATATGTTTACTTATATACATCTGTAATAGTGCATAAGAAAGTCTGTTTGCTCTAATTGACTTGTACATGTAGTGACCAGAATTCAAGAACAGCTTTGAAGGCACCAAAAATAAAAAATCATACATGCCCACATGCCCAATTTTAATTGAAAAATGCTTTTCACAATAAGAAGAAAGAATAAAGTTGTAGTGATCTTCAGAAGAGCTGGTGGATTGCAGGATCCCTATGTTGGGATTTTTGCTGTTGATGTTACTATCAATTGGTCTCTAATTTTGGGGAATACTTATTTGGATCCTGGATTTCAATCCTTCAATCCTGACATTCTGTCCTGGAAGCATTCTTTATTGCCATGTATTTATTATTGATTTTATTTTTAATAAGATCAATATGCTTCTATTACATCATCATCATCATTATCATTATTGACAAATTCATCATCAGTCAATTGCAAAAGGCAGTGTTACTAGGAAGTGCTTCCATCCTGCGATGATATCTGTAATACCATCAAACATCTACATCTGCCTATCCAGGTCCTTGCTAAGGACTCGATAGATAGATAAAAATGCCAAATCCAGTCTGAACATCTGGCTGACTGTGCGATGATCAATGTAATCATCATCATCATCATCATCATCATCATCATTTATGGAGAGATGTGTGTATAACATACCGTTCTGACCCCATTCTCAAAGGCCTGGCGTGTTAAAGAGGCTGGTCCATCAACTGTTTTTCCATCATCATCAGGACCCCAGCTAGCGCTGTAGATATGTATATGCTGGGGATTGAGGCTCAATGATTTTGCTTCTACCATGTCTGTAACATCACCATCTAACATCCGCACTCCTTGGGGGAAAAAAGAAAATTTTGATTTGATATAGTGCATTTGTATGTCCATTTAGCAACACATAATCCTTTTTGGTGGTTTATAAGAAACCAACATACAATATCCGCAATATATGTCCCCCAATTAAAAATAGCATTAGTGAAAATCAGCACCCAAACTCTCCTTATAACTATGATAGAGTAAAACAAATAATTGGTCTCTCTAAATAAATATTTCAGATTCTGAGTGTTGCTTAAAAGGCTGGGTTGAATCAGCTGAGCCTCTCTGAATATCTTGTTTCATAACTACTAAATGGTCCTGTCTTTAGTAACCACTCACTTCATTTCACTAGCAGGAACATCTTGAGCACACTAATTGTTTAGGAAAGCTCCTTCCAAGATATTAAAGGCTCTATGAATAAGAACCAAAATTTGAAATTAAATTGGGAAAGAACTGCGACAAAGTGCAGTTAGGAAATGCATTGGCATAACAACATAGGGAAGGAAAAATCTTTCCTTATATTCACCCACAAAACTTTCAGTACTTTGATCACTTAGTTATTCATTACGTACCATTCCCCCTCACATCTTTCTATCTATTGTACTAATTTATATCTGCAAATACATAAAATACACTTAAGAGTAATTACTACACTACATAGTAACTCAATAAAACATTAACCAGTAAGGTTTTTTAAAAAAATTACTAGATCAGAGATTCCCAAACATTCTCAGTTTGTGGTACATCTATTAGTTTTAAAACTGTATGCCTCTGTGGCTGAGGGTGTCACAGCAAATTTACTAAGAGTTACATTCATTTTTAGTAGGAAAAAAAAAGTCCTGTGGTGCCCATCAGATCATAGCAGCATTGGGAGTACCATGGAGCAGTTTGGAAACCACTGTACTAGGTCGCTATCCAATTCAAATACTTGCTAAAATAGAAATATTCTGATATGCTGTGTAAAATTGGGTAGGAGTGGAATCAAGTATCTTTTGCTGGCAAATTTAGGAAGACAGTACTGAAAAGGCTATTAAATCTACCTAGTCCAGGGGTAGGCAACTTCGGCTCTTTTATGACTTGTGGACTTCAAGTTGAAGTCCACGAGTCATAAAAGAGCCAAGGTTGCCTACCCCTGACCTAGTCTAATTCAGATAGGAATGGACTGCAGAATCAACAGGCAGACAGTAGCACTGCTAATATCTTCCTTCATATGTTCTACTCAGCAAGAATGGAGCAATGAGTAGCTTAATTACATTGGAAATGTGACTGAAGAGATGGCCTGGCTTCCATAAAGGAGTCATAATCAAAGGATGAGGTGACACCAGGGAAGCCTCAGAAATGATTCCCTCTTGCCATAGGGAAAGACCCAGTGCTTGCACGCTTTTGTGATAAACTGCTGTAACTCTTGCCTTATACCCTAAGATAGATTGTTTGCATCCATTCTTCTTCTCTTTCTTGCTACCTCAGTTAACTGATGGATGTGATCTTGCCTCAGTCCTTGAAACTTGTAATCTGTCTAGAAGGAAGTAAGCCCGACCTGACTATCAAAGGCTGACACTCTTTGCAGGAAAAGACAGCAATTGCCTATAGCAGGAAACTAAGCTCAGGATGACTGCATGCCTTAAATGTGTGACAAGCAAGCAAAGTGACTAAATAAAACAAAATAAGCAAATGCTGAACAAGACTAGCATGATTCTTCATGTTAATTCAACAGTTTGAATCAACAGTTGTTCATTTCTCAAGCTCTAAAGGTGGACCGGTAGCTGATCCAAAATATCCGGGGAAATGACCTGCTGTTCTCCCAGAACTAGAGCCAAAGTGGTAGGTTCTACCATTTTAATCTATAAAATCCTGTCAGAAGTACTCTGTTGGAGGTATGAAATTGCCATATAATAAGAGACACAAACAAAAGAATTAAAAAGGCAAAGATGACAAGAACTGGACAGGAACTAAAAAGAAACAAACCCATACAATCCAAGTAGATTGTGCAATGCAATGCAATTTCTATTATTTAATTAGAAAGAATAGTTTCAAATTAATGCGATACTAAGATGCACAGAAGCCATGTCTTAACAAGCCATGATAAACATAGTAACCATTTTTTCATTTAATAAACACAGATATTTATAATTTAAATTAGCATATTGGATTTAAATAACAACTTTGTTCTTATCAAATTGTTAAAATTCTAATTAACACAAGTCTTGATTGTTGTATTGGTATAACTCTACTTTTCTCGTCTCTCGCTATTACTATTACATAATTGAAACTGCATATTGTATATACTGTGAAATTTACACAGTACTTTTTCATGCCCTGTAAGATAATACTTATGTAAAGGCACCAGACTAGAAAGCAGACGGCTGGGAGTTCTAGTCCCGCCACAGCTATGATAACTAGCTGGATGATTTGGGGCCAATCACTCTTTCTCAGTCCAGGGAAAATAGGAGAAAGAAAGATTATTATATATTTTGGTCACCTTTATAAAAAGTCTAAAATAAATCAAATAAAAAATACCAATTCCATTGTAAACTTGTCTGAATGAAAAAGGAATAACATCTATTTATATTAAGAATAAACATTTATCAGAAAGATAATTTTCTATGGAAATTGAAATTAATTTTGCCATATTTAATTATTTAATGTATGTTATTCCAGGTTTTGCTTCCAGAGATAATACAGAGAAAACAGTACTTCATAGTTTATTCAGTAAGGTAAACTGATTTAGATGTGAACTATTTACTACACTATAGTTACAGTTAGATGACGGTTTCCTGTTATTAAAACATTTACATGTGTTTACATGTGTTGATGGTCCCTGAAGTATTTCACTGAATTATATCATTATTATTGCCTTTTAATTTCCTGTACTAATATGCCAAATACTACAGTGGCTATAGCAATAGCAACAGCACTTAAACTTTTACAACACTCTCTGATCAGTTTACAGTGTCAGCATGTTGCCCCCAACAATCTGGGTCCTCATTTTACTGACCTCGGAAGACTGGAAGGCTGAGTCAACCTTGAGCCAGTTAGGACTATGGCAGAGTTAGCCTGCAATACTGCATTCTAACCACTGCGTCATCACAGCTCTTAAAATCAAAGCAATTCTTATTGAAGTATGAACAATTCTATTTGTGCAAGAGATTCTAATGACATTTTTGCTACACTCTCCTATTCCATTCTAAAGAACTGTCAACACTACAGCAGAAGCAACACCATGGATGATCCTTTCCATGAACAGAGGCCTATACAAATACATACGATTCTGATCTCCCTGTTTGCACTTTTACATACCCACAACTGATAATCATGCATAAATATCAGCATATACCTATACCATTTTAATATACTCTTGTTTTGGCCTCATGTTTTGTCCATGCCATGCCATGCTATATCTCCCCCCCTCCCATTCTTCCTAGCAGAAATCGTCTAGCAAATAAGTATTTCTTGCTTGCATTGCTCATTTGAGATCTCTATACACATTTTCAGTTGGGGGGCACTTCTAGCAGACATTTTTCTTGGTTTTCCAGATGTGCTATGTAATTTTCATTTCTCAACAGTAGTTTACACCATTGTAATTGGTAGTTGACAGATTTAAAGATCTTATAAATATATCCTTCACCTGTTTTGCAAGAGTAAGCTACCTTAATTATAAAATGCTCAGACAGCTGACGTTTGAAGGCAGACATAACAAAAAAAAAACATAACCTGAACTGTTAGAAAGGTTGGAGTATTTGTTTCCCCGTGGAATTTTTTTTCCTACTAAGTGCGGGCTTAATAAGTCAATCACCTTTCTTCCTTGTTAACAACTTTACAGTGAAGAAAAACAAACAAAACAAAAGAAAAGTCTGAATCTATTAGAAGTGGGTCTGAACATTTTCATATTCACTGTTTCCTAATTCAACTGCACATAAATAATAGGTATACATTCAATTTTCAGAGAGATATCATGACTGAGAGGACCCTTCTTGGAACATGTGAAAGAGTTGAATAGGATGGAGAAACCAGAGGCACAGCAGGTTGACTCCATATATCATAAGCTTAATCAAGATGTTCCAAAGGAAGAGGTCATCTGCTACGGGGAAGCCACATGGCACCTGGGCTGTCGCAATCAAGTGAGCAGAGGGAAAAGAAAAGGCAGACAACTGTTATAGAAGGCAGAAGGAAGAAGTGCTCAGAGTGCAGCTGCAGGCACAGTATTGTATAGGTAACCTGAGTCCCAAATCTCCTATACATGTTTTGTTAAATATAGTTTCTCTATCTAATGTTTTATACTGGAATAAAACAGGTACAAATAAAAAGAACCACCTGTATGTAAGATACAACTTCAGTTAATTTAAGGAGCATCAATAACTAATAATCTAAACTGGGATGAGAACTTAATTTCCATTGGACTGCATAAAATTGAACAAGCTGTGTTGTTGTGATACCTGAGCACTTGGAGATTATACCATTTAACAGGCAATATTAAAAATATTTTCTCCCTGAAATAAAAGGCTAAAAAAGGTGAATTAGATTCCAATAAGATTAACTCTTTGTCTTTTAAACAATCATAAGAAATATAGGGAATCTGGTCATCTTTTTGATGATCTGAATGCATCACTAACATACCATTTAAAACCTTAAGAGACTTGCCACAAATTCCATAATTCTAATCGAAAATCAACTTGACACCCAATCATTTTATATTAGTTACCCCATAGATTTGAATATCATAAATAGATGAGGTAGGGTGCAGATACTACCATCTGGCCTCATCTTTGCTGGCAGCCAAACTAAGGTTAATATAGTTACGGGCTTTGCAAGAATCCCCAGTTCTGTCATACTAGTGCTTAAGCAATGCAATGCAGTGCTTAAGGTATTGGCCAGGACTTGAAAGACTGAAATTCAATCTTTGAAAGCTTACTGAATGATAATGGCCCAGTCACTACATTTTATTACCACCAATAACACAGATCTTTTGGTGTGGAGAAAAATTGAAGATGGTAATGTTAGATATAAGTTATTGCACTGTGGAGAAAAGGCAGAATACAAACCTAATAATGAAATGTGCTAAGAGCTTGAATAAGGCAATTCTCTTTTTTTTCTTTAAAGAATTATCTTAAATTATCTTTAAAGAATTATCATGCTTAATATACAACGGTTGAACTAATCTTAGCCATAAAATTGCATATTTTGCCCAACTTCTTGTTCTTTGAAATTCCTTTTTCATCTGATATTTGGAGAATGTTCCCTATAGACATCAAAAGAAAAATCCAAATTTTTCCAAAATTGTGATCGTTTTATTTTTAGGGAAACCAGTTGCAATATATCACCTAAATTTAGACATTTCACTGTTCTTTGAAGAGATTCTGTGATATTGTTTAAATAAATGGACATTTGTCTGGTTTGAATCCAAGCTATTTACCCTATTTACATGACAAAAGAAGCCAAAATGGGTAATAAATATCTATATATACAAGAGCAATGGGAATAAATAATATTGTATATTACATATGTATTGATTGTATGCCATCAGGTCCAAATGACCACATAGATACATCTAATAACATTAACCACTTCATCTGTTGTTCAAGTTAAAAAGTTCACATATTAATAATTAATAACACTTATTTTTTTTTAAAAAACCACATGGTTAGAAAATATCTCTCTCAACTGTTAATTATAAATATGTGGCTATTAAACTTGAGCAAAAATGAAATGGTTAACCACACAGATGCGTGTAGTTAAAGACTAATGATTAATTATTTTGTAATAACTATAAGGCATTCAAAATCACACACATGCTCACATACACCACACCCACGCTCTTCCAATAAGCATTATGTCTTCCAATAGAAGAGACAAACTAAAACAGAATTCCAAGGCTTAAGTTTTCCTTTAAGAACATGTTTATTGGCTACAAAATATCGGCCCAGTCAAAAGGGAAACCAAGACTAAAGTTCCCTCCAAAAAGTTACAGTATTACAAAGTTAAATTTCCCAGCCCAATACTATGCAATCAATTATGTTTCCCAATTGAATAGTTTGGCTGGCTTTCTAACATTAGGCTCAGCCCCCAATCTAATGAACAGAAATGACCTTGGTTCCCATGGGACAGAATTGTTTAGGCTAGCACAAAAATGATACCACCCTCCTCCCAGTCTGGTGGCAACCAAAAACAAGCCAAAATGGCTTCATTCAGGTTCGTTGCAGAGTTGACACACTATTTGTACTAGCAGGCTAATATGGGCAATGATATCATCATGTATAGCTTGCTTTATTTTCCTTAGATAGATTTGGCAGATTGGTTTGGCTCATACCAGTTCTGCATCATAAATCTATTCCAATCAAAAATAATAGAGAGACAAAGAACAAAAATAAATAAATCTATTAATCTATTTTTTTACACATGCATACTGGTTTCTAGCCTGATGCCTTAACCAACACACAAATTGGTTCTCAGGATACTTGATGCTGAAATATTTAGCCCACAAATGAAGTGAAAAAAATAAATAATTTTTGGGACATCTCTAGTATTAATTACTTTTTAATGAATAGAAAGGACATACAACATGAAGCACATTTAAGCTGCATACATTGTGTGTGATCCATAATCAATCAGTATATATATTGGTACTAAGATAAAAACTCAAACATAAAAACTTTATATCTCCCTCTTCACTTCCCTTAAGTTGTACATGATTGTCAGAGAGTATCTGGACAAGTCCCTGCAGTTTTCTTGGCAAGATTTTTCTAAAATAACTTTTCATGCCTTCTTCCAAAGGCTGAGAGAAAGTGACTGGCCCATGGTCACCCAGCTGGCTTTGCGCCTAAGACAGGACTAGAACTCACTATCTCCCATATTGATGAAGATTGTCAGACCTCCAGGTAGAATTGTCTGGAAGTTGAGTCATGGAAACTCAATTCAAAAAAAAAAAAAAAAAAAAGGGAAGGGAAGGGAAGGGAAGGGAAGGGAAGAGAAGGGAAGTCCTGTTGCGATGACTCAACTTCTAGTCACCGTCTTCCAGTTTCTACTATTATGCCTTAACCGCTACACTAGCTCCCAAAATGTGTATGTTCTGATGCAAAGGTTCATTTTTACATTTGTTGCACATGTAAAATGATATCAACTTTTGAAAGCGTCTATACATAGGTAGGTGGGTGAAATTTGCCTCAAAGTGACACTTCATTTTGCAAAGGCAATGCTTTTTATATAGTTTAGGTAAAGAATGAACACAATTTGCTTCAAGTCAACAAGCACTCTTTGGCCTGAACTTTTAGTAAATCAAACAGTTTTGGGGGGACAATGGGGATTCCCTTCAGCACATAAAAAATGGAAGAGGCTTTTAGATACGCAGAGAAGATACCAGCTATTTTAAATTCCAGAGAAAACTTCAGAGAAGAACTCAAAGGAGAGTGAATCATTTTATTAAAATTAAGAGGCCATATTATTTCATGAAATTTCTTATGAACTTTTATTGAAGCCATTCATCCCCCCTAAAGATTTATACAGCCTTAAAAGTTGTAGAAGGGAGATAAAAGTAACATATTAGCTATAGTATGTTTTTACTAGCTATAGTAATTGTTTCACTTTTTCTGCAGTGAAGTAATAGTGAAGGTATTTTTTTCTCAAAGAATGTATGCCACCATAAAAAGAAGGCTTATCAGTTATGCTTAAGCACCTTTAAGTTACAGTTAAATGCAAAAATAAGCACATGAAAATGTCTTGTAGAATAAACTTAACACCATAACTATACACATATTTACCAGGGATAACTGCCATGGTTACTGAACAAAGTGACTTCATTTGACTTATATAATGCTTTATTAATTTTTAAGTATTATTTTTAAATAATAACTACACTTACCTCCAATTCTGGCATTAAATGCAATTCCTACTATACAATGTGAGTTATTTGCTGTAGCTGCCACTTCTCCAGCACAACGGGTTCCATGCCTATAGGAATGAAAGTATTTTAAATTAAGTGACATTAATGCAAACAGAAGCATTTTAAAAAGTATTTTAACAATTCAAATATGAAGCAAGTTAAATTTACTTCAAGAAAGTGACACTGTGGGGATAAAATAATTCACTTTGATGAAGTAAAGCAATGATTCAGTTTGCCTCACTGGAACAATTCTAGTGGCCTTCAACTTGACCTCTTCAGGTCAGTGCTACTACTTCCAATGTCCGAAAGGTGCTTTTTCAAAAGGCAACTGGACTTTCTTTGTTTTTCCTTAAAGATGGTTCACTTCTCATCCACAGTTCAGAACTGAAGAAGCTTCTTGGATGAGAAGTGAACCATCTTCAAGGAAAAACAAAGAAAGTCTAGTTGCCTTTTGAAAAAGGACCTTTGGGACAACCATGATCTGGATGACTGAGAATCTTTATGGATTCTCTTTCAAGGCTTTCCAAGGCCAGGTTGGGCATCATTCAGAGTCTGGAAGCATTTTAGGATTTAATGAAGAAGGTTCCCCTCACCTTTCTTTGGTAGTGTGAACTCTGCAGGAAAAGCTGGGTTTGGGTTCTGAAGAAGTCAGATGTAGTCACTTTACTTTGCTCTTAGAATAGCTGGTTCTTAAGGACTTCTTTAGAAAAATGTCTTTCTTTCTTCAGGAATCAAGACTAGTCTAATGATCAGGTGTCACTGCAGGCATATTAATGCCAAATAAGACAACTGAACAGTACTGATTTATAGAAAAGCATCTTAAAATATAACCAGAATCTATATATGATCATATTTTAATCCATAAATGTTTGTTTAAATGTAGCAGAAACACAACATAAGAATTAGGAACATAACACTGAGAATTGATGAGGTAAAGAATCATTATCAAGCAATTTAAGAAATTGCTTTTGTGCAGTTCAGGTGGTAATTAAAGCCCACAGATATTCTGTAAAAATGCTTTAGTTTAAGGTATAAGGCTGTGCAATAGCTTTAATACCTTTTTGTCACACATGAAGAAAATTCTGGTGGCTGGAAAGGAATTAAGAGCCACAACTTGTTGACTATGTGATCTACTTCAGTTTTATTTTTGTAAAGCTAGATTTGTACAAGTAAAGCACCCATAAACTTAGAACTATACAGAGACATAAAGAATTGGACAGGCTGCTCAGTTATTATTGGCTGGCAACATTATAAAATACAGTTACCTAGTAACTATTTGCTGTGCGAACATAACTCTTCTTTGAACTTTTAGTAAAACAAAACTGGACAATCATATGTGCCATTCTTGTAATGTTTGGTGATGGATTGTGGATAAAATCTTCAATATTACGAATGGTAGTATTTTTTTGTCTTAAAATATATTTTAGTCCAATGTATTTATTTTGTTTATTTAGTTCCCCCTTTATTTATTAGTATAAGCATAAATGAAAGAAATAGCAGATGTATATTGAAATGCAATGATGGCATTAAAAAAATGGATCTGAAAAAGATAGGGAGTATACAAGATTTGCATACTTTCCTCATAAAATCAGTTATATCAATTTTGTAGCTATGCCTCAATACCAGTTAAAATTAATGTAATATAGAATTATAAATCTATTATTAATGTATCCAAATAGTAAATAAAATCACTTTTTCTACATGAAAAAATATGTAGAAACAATCAATGCAATCTTTTTGTAATAATAAAATAAAGCTCTGCGCACTTCAAATGTACATTTCAAATGTGCATAATCAAAACTTTGAGCCTGTACTGTACTAAAGCAAGCTGGAGAACTCAAATCTCATAGGCTATCAAAAGGATATTTACATGGATATTTAAAAGGATATTTAAACTTTAGAAAGTTTAGAAATTAGTCCTTTTGTTTGTTTACATTTTGTAGGAATTTAGATTATACTGTAGAGTACCAATAAACTAGTTCTTGAAGTATTGGGAAAAGACATTATCTAGGCTTCTTTTAAAGAAATGTAATTATCCTAAAAGAGGATAATAAATAATAAAAAATATAAAATCAAATCTGACACGTGTTCATCCATAAATCTCAACAAAGTAATGGCATTCTCAATACAGAATTCTAATCTGTTTTCAATGTATATATACAAACATGCGTACACTTATAACAATTTCCTCACAGGATATTATTGTTTCAATGCTGCTCACCGTATTCTATCCCTCATAATATTTTTCCTGAGATTTACACTGAATATCTCTTTCTTCTTCCACAATCTTTCCTCAATTGCAGTTCTACAGCTTCTGATGTCTGACACTCCACTGTCTTTTGAAAGTTAAAACAAAACAAAACAAAATACAGCTTTATTCAATTTCTCTCTGTCCCTGAAATTTGCTAGCGAGTTTAAGCCTCTTCAATATATAGGGAACCTCAGCTGAGAAATCAGAAATGAAAATGAAGAGTAAAAATGAATGTAATGATGAAAGAGTAGATTGTAGAGGCAAGAATTTCCTATTAGATAAACTAGAAAACTAGTGATTTTGTTGGCAATATAAATAAAGCTCATAATGATGTGATAAACTTAGTCAATAGCAAAGATCAATATTTTCTTATGCTGAAGTGATTATTTTTCAAATTCTTTCTGCAATAAAGGTATTCCAACATAATATACTAAGCAAAACACTAAAATGTGATGCTTTTTATGCTGTGGAAGTTAATGCTGGCAAAACGAAGTCACAAATGTTCACATTATTAGCCATTTACCCCAAGTACGTCAGCAATGTTTGTGCAGCTGTGTTGAAAGAATTTCAAGGGATTATATGTTATTTTCTTCTGTCCTCTGTCATCTACTGATCCACCTGCTGCTTTGGATGATAACTTCCTTAGAAGTAGCAACAACTCACAATAAAAAGATTATGGCTTTATTTATGGTTTATGAAAAAGATACCACAACTTTTGATAATATAGTAATAAAATTATTTCAAACAAGATTGAAATGAAAAAATTGGGCATGCATGTTCAAAGTAGAAGTGTTGCTAATGATGATCAGATAAAAATGTTCTGTAATTGGATACTAATATTTTAAAGTTGCTAAATACTCATTTTCCTATTCCAAATCCAGCATTCATGCTGAATGCTGGTTACTTTTCCTTTGCTAAACAGAAGAAGAGATAAAATGATTTTTTACAAATGTACTGTAAACAGACCGACCAAGCTTAGTTAAGGGAACCAAAAAAAAGTACACGTTTCTCTAAAATTGCATAATGAATAAACAGACATATCAAACTGTTGTTTTTATTTCTCTACGCATACTTTTCCACATTCAATAGTAATAAAGCAATCTTAGCCTCCTGCATGACACATTGTGGGAACAGCTAAGTACACATTAAAGTCCACTGTCATTATTGATAAAATAAAGAGAGTGGAGCAATGGCTAGTTTCATATGATGATTCAATACAGCTAATTTTTGTTGTTATTTAATAGGCAAGAATAATGTAACAACTGCTAAGTGAATTAAAAGCTTTGAGTGAATTACAGCTCACTCTATGCAGGAAAAAAATGTAACAGAATCCAACTAAATTGCATGCATATAATCTTTTCAATGCTTTTTCAAAAAAAGGAAAAAAAGTCATGTATTGCAGTCATCTGTATCAGTGAAAAGAGATCTTTCTCATCTCTGGAACTGACCTTAATATTTTATAAAATAGGTTTATTGGTTCCAAGATCAAGAGTTTTTGGTTTTTCTGTTACAAGATGCAAGAGTAAAGTATAGGGAAAGTGCCTTTTTTCCAAATTCTGAAATTCTCGTTTATTGAGAAGCTTTAACGGTGCTATAAAACTTTGTTTTAGGATATATGGCACTGTATCACTTTATGTGGTGTGCATACAGTATATTTCACATCTTGCTACAGATTCCGTTTGTTTTTCTAATAGAGTTTTAGAATTTTAATGGCTGTTACTTTGGATGAAAAATGAATCAATTCACATTATGGGAATAGATTTATCTATCTCGATTAAAGGAATGCATTATATTAAATGGTTTTTTTGATTTTACAAAGTCTAAAAATCAACTGTGAGCTCTCAGATGCACAAAATGCAAGAGAATGCAATAATATCTGTAGCTCATGATTGAACTGTTAAAGGCTTCGTGCTCTGTGAGCTTGACTGAACTCCACACATAGAATAGTCAGGATAGAACTTGGAGTCAATAAACTGAAATCAGATTCATTGGTAAAATTAGATGATTTGTAAAGTGAAAATATGCATCTCTTCTCCAATTATAATTCAAATAATAATACTGAAATAATAAAACAATATGTGAACTTAAGCCTATCTAATCCTAAGTATGAATGAAAATGTCCTTGCTGCTTTCCTGGGAAGAAGATACATTAATGTAATACTAACATCAAGTAGCCACATCTCTTTTTCTCAGAAAAAAACTAAAAATAAATTGAATCTATTTCTGATAGTTAAATGTATATTCTGTCATCTTGGAACTTAAGTTTAACTCTGGACAAATAAATTCATTTTATCTTTCTTCCATTTACTTTTAAATAGCTTGATCTTAATCCCATTGAAGTTGATTTCAAAGTTAATCCCACAAGTTGATTTCTCTGTCTCCTTTCAAGAACAACTTGAAGAAACTGTTCTTGTAGAAGATCTTAAAATGATGAAGTAAAGCATAGTCATTTGGTCCCATCCTTGCATTTAAATCTCCACTGATTATTATTGATGCTGCTGGATATTTATCTAAACAAGTGAAGATAAAAGTTTCTATATGTGCCCAAGTGAGCATTTATTTTAAAAAGAGGAATCCCAAAGGTGCTTTTTCACAAGACAACTGGACTTTCTTGTTTTTCTTTGAGAGCTGAAGAAGCTTCTTGGATGAGAAGCAAAAGGTGTTCAAGGAAAAAAATAAGAAAGTCCAATTGCCTCATGAAAAAGCACCTTTCGGATAACTATGACCTGGATGACTGAGAATCTCCATAGATAAAAAGGGGAATATAAACATTAAAAGTAAAATTTCAACTTCATTGGATGAAAGCAAAGAGGCTTTGTGCCATGGCTTCAAAGAAAGCAGTGAAACACATTTAAACTCCAAAGCTGGATAAAGCTGTCACAATACCATCCTCAAGTTTCCTTCCTGCATTAGTGGGGGAGGGGCAAATTAATTGACCCATTCATCTTAACTTCTGATGCAGCCCAAGTGTCTGAAGGAAAAGGATATCAAATTGTGATAGATAACAAAAGAAAAGGTTGATCTTTTAATGGTGCTGACCAACCTGCAATATTCCAGGTTAAAAAGGAGATTACATTATCATTTGAAGGCAACCATGTGGCTTGATTTTGATTTTGGCAAATCAATGATGTAAAATAGTTGTGTTGGGTTGAAAAATCAATGGCAAGCAACCAGACCTCCTTTAGGGGCAGGTTTATCTCATGCAAATTCTGTAACTGCTCCTGGGAACCTTGCTCTGAGAAATTGAAATCATCACAGTTCAATAGAGTATACATTACAGGGACTTCATTCAATACACTGGGTACAAGATTGATGGTTTTTGCTCTGCATGATTGAATTGGCAAGAAGACTGCCTCCTGATCCCCTGCTTAGCAGTTACAGATCTAATTGGATATCTCAGTGTGTAACAAAATTTCTCATCAGCTATAATGGTGGCTTGGGTTGGCCCCACAAGATTGCTTAATGGCTCAGAAGGATCTAGGGAGCTTTAGTATGAGTGATGATAATCAGCTATTCCATTCTCCACCAAGAGGGTCAGCAATTTAGTATCAGCAATTGGAGAAACAAGGTCTATCAGTAACTGTGCTATAGCCATTGTAACCAGTAGAGTTGTCTCCATATTTTAAAACTTACGTAGTACATTATCTTGTTCATCTCCTGGTAAAGAATCAAAAACACTAATGAAGCCAGGTACATCTGGGTATGAAGAGTCTTCATTTAGTAAATCTAACTGACTACAAAAGCCTTGCTTTCTTAAATCTGGAGGTGGTGCAGCAGGAGTCTTGGAGGCATCTGGGATTGACTTAAAGTGGTTATTTGACATAGCTGACATAGAGTCAAATAAAAATTTGATCTTTTCATCACAAAAAGCTCAACGAAAGAGTCAAACAAAGCTAAATAGGCACTCATCTTAAATAACATCAATGGGAAGGATCTGCTTATAGTTTAAGATATTTGGGAGCCATTCAAGACCAACTATATTTATCTAGCTGTATTGGCAATTAAGAAGTTATCCTAGAGACATTACTATTGTTTTCCTTGAATTAGCAGCTGATATTATAACTGTCCCAAAAAATGCTGAGTGTGATCTGTTATGTCTGCAATAAATGATCTGAAGCAGAAAAAAATACTTCAGCATCTGAAGGAGCTTTTATATATGTGAAGAGCATCTTCTTTGTCTTATAAAGAGTTACAGAGTTATTAGAACAAGCATTTGGATATTGTGGTATGTGTCAGATTGTTTTACTTTTTCCTTAATTGCTTGCTCTTTTACAGTCCATGTGCCCAAGATATGATGACTAGGTGAATCAGTTATATCAGTTTTGATAGGCGTAAAAAGTCCAGTTTCCTGCTTTTGCCATATCATCTTTTGCCATGTCCAGTTAGTATTTTATGGTTGAGAGTTGCTCAAATATCAAAATCACAATTGAACTGTGAACAGCATGTTTTGCCATAAATTCTGTTGAGTTTTCCCAAGAGACCCTCTCCCTCTTCTGATTTGATTTTTTTTTGTCTTTAAGCTTATTTTCAATTCCCCTGAGGCTGGTAGAATTAGTTGCAATGGTGTCACAAAATGAGAGCCCACGAAGGACCTGACTCCTATTTAGTTCATCCCTGTCAGATAAGGAGAGCTTTGACAGTTGTTGTTGTTTTCAGTTCTGTTTGAAGATCCTATTCCAGTGTATCAAATTTGTTTAAAGGAGCATTTGTTTTACTTACAGATCCTTTTCATGCAAAGTGTTCTTCTGTCTTTTGGCTGTTTAGCTGACATCAATAAAGGGGGACTGTCTGGGCTGGTGACATGTCATTTCTTTCTTTTTTCCATATCATTCAGGTCCACAAGAAGTCCTTTATCTGTCCCTTTACCTTAACATTTGTCTCACCCCAAACAATTTAAGAGAAAGTTCCATGAAAAATGCTAAAAAAACTAATAATATAATTAAGCAGGCAGGAACTGAAAAATTGTTATTGGACTAATAGTTCCATCCATCCCCAACAGTAGTTTAACATGTGCCCTTTGTAAATTCAAGATAAGAAGGCTTTCCAAATTATTGTTCTGATTTATTATTGTATGTTCTTTTTAGTTACTAAGACATCAGTTGGTTTCAAATGTAAATCCATTTTGGCATTTTTTTTCATATCACATTAAAATTAGTCTTAGTCTGTTTTAGCCAATAAAATCTATTTGTCTTCTACATCCTCTGTTAAATCCATGCCTATAGTATCAGACAATCTTGTAAGTAATTTCTGAGCATCTTGTTCCCAACAGCCTTAACTTCTTCTATAGACAAATAGTACTGCTCCATTGTATCAACGAGTCTCTTCTCCTTCAATTTTAATCCTTAGTTTTCTCTGATTTCCTTTCATCAACCTTCAAAGTCCCCTCTTATCATGTTTATCTTCTGATCAGCAAAAACTTTCCCATGAGAGGATTTCTTACAGTTAATTTCAAAATTTTCACATAGTCTTTTATAAAATTTTAAGCACTCCTCATAAAATATTATTTAAAGTGCATCTAGCCCTTTTATTTAGTCTTTAACCTTCCGGTCCCTCTTGTTTTCCAAAAATTACAAAGTTTTTTCCTTTTTAATCCTTAAGCTTATATAAATTTCTTTCATCTAGGATAAAAAGAAGTTATCCCTGCATGATGAAAGTTGCCCTTCAGAAGGTTCTTAATATTCAATAAATCAATAGCAAGCAACTTCCTAAGTAGGTAAGAGAGGAAGTAGGCGAATGAAGGATCTGATCTGAAAGTACTGAACCATGACTTAGGCAAGTTAATTTTCCCTTGGCCTTCAGAGCTCTCAAATGCTCCAGAGATTGCTATTTTGTGATCTCGGTATAGTCAAACTCTGTATGGAGCAAACTTGTTGATGATCCTAGTCCTCTCCTCCACATGGGGAGCACTTGATTAGTTCTCCAGCACTTCTTATTGCAGCAATCATCTACCATTGTTTCCCTGGAAGCCGACATGTGTTCATTATCAAAATAATCTGTGGTTAGGATATTTCAAGAGTAAAGAAATATTTCTGATACTGATGTCTAGCAACCTATCAGGGGCTGGGATTGTGTTACAGGCAGTTAAAACATGCCAGAAATTGTACTAAATACTAATGTTACCGAAACAGGTAAGAATATGATCATTTTCTAGACTAAGTTCAATCATTATAAATTACCTGTATATATGCATGCAATTTATATCCCACCATTTGTTCAGGACTTCAACACAGCACAAATAGTGCATCATTTTCCTACTATATCCACAAAAAAAATGTGAAGTAGGTTGGGATGAGAATGAAAGAAACATAAATGTGAATTTCCCTATTACCAGTCCAACAGTATTTTTTATAAGTTTGCATTCATCACAACAGGAAGCTGATACAGTTTGCTACTTATTACAAAGATAGAATTTGAAGAAAGAAGGATTAGTCTATAATTTAAGTCATGTCTATCACCACATATATTAAATTAGCTAAACTGAGATAATACAACGCAAGCATACACATATTGGGCATCCATTAATATTTTGATGATTTATGGTCCAACTGTTAAATGTTATGACATAAGCTTATATTAATATCTGAAGCACTACATCAGCACAAAATATTATTCTGGCTCTTCGGAACTGCCATCATGATAAACTTATTTGCAGTAGGTTTTATTGCTTCATTTTTGTACAACAATTCTGGTAAAAACCTGATAAATCAAGTTAGAATCTTTTTGCATGTGAATATATAAACGTGTACAAAGGATAGGAAGAAAATATCCATCCTAACAAAAAGGAATAACCGACCCTTAAGAAAGTAATACAGATTTTCATCCAAGCCATAAGAAGCAGTTTAGTGTAGGAGTCTATTAAACATGTTAAGATCACAGTTCTATTTCATTCTACCTCATACCTTTTTAGCTGATAACCCACCAATCCAAATGCTGTCAGCATTTATTTATTTGACAACTTTTCTATTCCTAAAATGGCAGTCATACTTCATAACAGGAATATTATAAACCTTTTGAAAAGTAATTCTTTGTGACTGGTAGAAAAGTGGCAACCATACTGAGGATAAGAAGCAATTTTTACAACCCTTCCCCCCCCCTCTATAACTCACTATGCAAATTTGCTCAGAAAGGTCACTGATTTTTCAGAATAAATTTAATGGGAAGATTTAATTTTTTTTCTAGCTGTGGAGATTCTACTATTAGATAAACTTTAAAATCATTAGCAAAAATAAAATAAAAACTTTCCAAGGAGGTAATAATTATGCTGAAAATTAATAACAATTTAATATTTTAATCTTTAAGTTATTTAACATCTGCTCAGGCAATTCATTCTGTAGATTAAGTACATCTATCTAAAAATAAGGTATATGTAACTTAATTTACCCAGAAGCACATTTTAATTTAAAATCATCAGCATTCTGTATCTATACAATATAGATCACTGAACTTACTTGTTTTCATTGCTGGCATCATATCGAGGCATAGGGTCAATATCATTACCATTGACATCAAAACTGGCATCTGGGTCCTGTAACCAACAGTGAGGTAAGATGGAAAAAGAAGGGACAGCAGAACCTGATTAATTAGCTATTGATTCATCTAAATTCATATATTCCTCAGCAGGTTTTTATAAGCATGTAATTAGGTTAACTAAGATTCCTGTGGTTCTGTATTGGATGCTTGTCCAAAACTAACTATTTAATTGTATTTAGGATATGTTCTTAAAGCATAGGTCTCAAAATCAAGCCATCATGAGAGCTCGATGAGAACAAATTCATATTTTGAGGACTGCAAGTTATGCCATACATTAATATAGAATCTATTTTTAATAATTACACTTTAATTTATATTTATATGGTATATTGCACTCCCAGCAATTTCAGAAAATTTGGCCAAGGATGATCTGTAGATGCTGAGATCATTAGAAGCATTAGGATCATTTTAGAAGCATTCTAGAAGCATCAGCAATCATTCTAACATCATTAGAAAGGTGTAGGTTGACCACAACAGACAATATATCTTTCAGATGGAAGCTCATTTCCTAATAAAAATATATTTATTCCCCTTTTCTATCCATTCACCCTGGTCAGTTTTCCAAGCCTTTTGCTCCTAGAAGCAAAAGTGGAATCAGCTCAGAAATTTGCACACATTCCACCCCAACATTTGATAGGTATCCAACATGAGATCGTTACAGTTTACTTTTGCTTCCTTAGTGCGAATGGTAGCCCCAGTCTTTTTCCAGTTGTTGCCTTGCAGGATCACTCTTTCTTACAAAAAGCTGCTAAGCTTTCACCAAGACAACTCTCTAGTCCCTATTTACCTCTTCTATCAATCCACACGGGATGGTACATCACATTTCCTTCTCTGATTATGGTTTTTTTCTCCTTTCTTTTTGGAATATATGGACTTTTTCATATCACAGTTTTATTCTCCCAAAGCCCAAGTAAAGGAGGGTATACAAAGAGGGACACACTTTGTTCCTCTTCTCAGCTGATTTTTTTGTTTTATTTTGCCAGAGAAGAGAACTCAAAGAGAGGCACCTATTTGAGGAACCCATAACTACCAATCTAATGAAGAGAATGTCATGGTTTCGATAGATGAGACCAATTAAAGCAGAAATCTGAGGCTTGAGTTTTTCTCTAAGAACATGTTTATTGGCTACAAAGTATTGTAGGGGTGGGGTGCCCCAGGGCTCTGTTCTGGGCCCAATACTCTTCAACATCTTCATCAACAATTTGGATGAAGGGATAGATGGGGAACTCATCAAATTTGCAGATGACACCAAGCTGGCAGGAATAGCCAACACTCCAGAAGACAGGCTTCAGGTACAGAAGGATCTGGACAGACTTGAACACTGGGCACTAACTAACAAAATGAAATTCAATGGTGAAAAAAGCAAGGTTCTACATTTAGGCAAGAAAAACCAAATGCACAAGTACAGCATAGGTGGCAACATGCTCAATAGTAGTAACTGTGAGAGGGACCTCGGAGTCCTAGTATACAATCACCTAAATATGAGCCAGCAGTGTGCTGCAGCTGCCAAAAAGGCCAACACAGTGCTAGGCTGCATTAACAGAGGGATAGAATCAAGATCACGTGAAGTATTAATACCACTCTTCAATGCCTTGGTAAGGCCACACTTGGAATACTGCATCCAGTTTGGTCACCACGATGTAAAAAAGATGTTGAGACTCTAGAAAGAGTACAGAGAAGAGCAACAAAGATGATTAGGGGACTGGAGGCTAAAACATATAAGGAACGGTTGCTAGAATTGGTTATGTCTAGTTTAACGAAGAGAAGGACAAGGGGGGACATGATAGCAGTATTCCAATATCTCAGGGCTGCCATAAAGAAGAGGGAATTAAGCTATTTTCCAAAGCACCTGAAGGCAGGACAAGAAGCAACGGGTGGAAACTAATCAAGGAGAGAAGCAACCTAGAACTAAGTAGAAACTTCCTGACAGTGAGAACAATTAATCAGTGGAACAGCTTGCCTCCAGAAGCAGTAAATTCTCCAACACTGGAAGTTTTTAAGAAGAGACTGGACAGCCATTTGTCCGAAATGGTGTAGGGTTTCCTGCCCGAGCAGGGGGTTGGACTAGATGACCTCCAAGGTCCCTTCCAACTTTACTATTATTATTATTATTATTATTATTATTATTATTATTATTATTATTATTATTATTATTGGCACAGTCAAAAGTGAAACCAAGACTAAAATTCCCTCCAAAAAGTAACAGCATTACAAAATTAAACTTCCCACCCCAAAATCTATGCAATCTACTATGTTTCCCAGTAGAATAATTTGGCGGGCTTTCTAATATTGGACTCAACCCCCAGTCTAATGAACAGAAATGACCTTGGTTCCCATGGGACAGAGAATTGTTTAGACTAGCACAAAACTCCCCATTCCTCCCCCCAATATTGTGGCAACTGAAAACGAGCAAGATGGCTTCAGTCAGGTTCGTTGCAGAGTTGACAAAGGCAACGTTTAGTCCTGGCAGTCTCATTGTAACTTATCTCCACCCCTTTTGTAGTGAACAAATGAGGAAGCTCAGCTATTGTTTTTGCTTTCCTCAGCAGCCAGACAGTTGCAATTCCTACAATGTAAGATATAGAATGCTGCAATGATGGCAACCTCAATTCTCTCTCTTATAACGTGGTGCACAACTAAACCCTGAGATGCTAAAGCTGGGCATCCAACTTGTCCACCTTCCAATGTGTCCCTAGTGACTTCTCCTAGGTGTGCTGAGAGAAGTGGATCAATGGAGATTCTTCATGTTCATGATCCGTGACTATCTGCCCATCCCCTCTATAGAAAGTGATGATACATGTTTGGAAGGAAAAGTTGTGAATGAGGTGCTGGGGATAAGTGAGTTCATGCCAGCTTTTGGCAATAGCATGGCACGGATGGATAAAGCATATTCGGGCTGCAGAGAATGAAGATGAAGGAAGGTTGCATCATGTATTGCAACTCCTGTATTTAAGTACTTCTATTTATGAAAAATAATTGCCTTAATTAAAATAAATTCATGTGATTCTAATAATGCCAAGCTTCTTCATATAAATCCTTTTCAACGCATATATTTATTTCCAACGTGGATTACCTTCATTCTTACTAAAAGACATAGCTATTTAGGTGATCCTAAGAGAACATTACTTGCCTAAAGGAAATATCTTCATGTGTTCATAAAATGATTTGCAAACACAACTTCAATTATTAAGCCCACTTTGAAAATGATACTATACATGTATCAATTACACATTTTCATATCTTTAATAGATATAATGGATGTAAAATTTGATTTTATTTTCTCCACTTTTCCTGTAGAAAACATTTGCTTTTGATTCCAGTCAAATGATACAGCTGAATTTGTATGCATGTGCAGTTCAGGCCTGATTTGATTCATATTGATGATCTGAGATTCAAGGAGATTTGAATCTTTTATTTGAGTTTGTGATTCAATAGTTGAGGGCTAACCAATTTAGTTCAAAAGTTTGAAATTAAATTTTTACTAATGTCATCAGTTATAATGAGAAAGCATCAAAATGTCTGTAAGTGAAATATTACAACTGGCCAGATTAAAAATGTTGAGAGATGAGAAAGTGAATAAAGCACAAAGCATTCATTTCAAAAGAATTCCAATACATACAGTATAATAAGATGATACAATTCAGTGATTAGAAAAGAGAAGAGGACGACCAGCTGCAAACTGGCTGGAACTCAATTACAGTAGTGATGAGTGCACAGTTGTGAGACTTGAAAAAAAAAAGAGTTTAGGAATAGATCATCATGTAGAAGATATATGTGAACACTAAATGATGAAAACAACTTGATGGCACAAAATCAATCAAGTTGCTCGTGTCAAATGTCCAAAAGGTGATCACATTCAGCATGACCAGGTCAAATTCAGGTCAAATAATTGTGGATATAATAAAAACTACAATGAAGTCATGTGCATTTTGATGTCTTTTCAAGAATGATGAAAATTAGGTCATGATGCACATGAAATTATTTTCCCTCCCCAAGGAAACCCTTGATGTTGGATGAAATTGAAAATATTATTCTGCTGATAGATCATATCCTGTCTGTGGAAGCATTATCTTCTCCCTTTGCTGCCTTCTCCATGCTCTGATACTTAAAGTGTGACTGGATTGTCTAAAACAGAATTTAAGGGTATGCAGTGGGTATAGCATGAGAAATAATATTTTCGCTAAATATTGTCAGAATGTTCAGTTTAAAGTAGGAAGTGCAGAACAGTGTAGAATATTGCTTAATTTATCTTTAAATGTCCCCCTTCCATCTTTTTAAAGATAAGTAGCAGAAAAGAGAGGAAAAATATAACAGCTTTTAAACTAATCAGTAGAAAACCTGAGTTGCATTGAATCAATGTAGCAAATGTCCTGCTCTAAGTTAAAAATAATTTTCATGAACTGCTTACAAAACAGTTTTTCGTCTTGCTTTTTGTAGGATGACAGGCTTAGGATGACATTGAAGAATGCTCAGTGACTCGGCCTGGTGAGAGACTGTGGTTTATTATGTATGATCATTGGATTTGTGGATATCTGGAGGACTGGTATCATTAACTGGCAAATTTGGGCTGCCCTGGAAAGGGCTTCTCATCAATTGCAGGTTGTGACCTGCAGGCATAGTTAGTTATTAAGCAGAGGCAACAGAAGTCGCTGGCATTATGAGACACATTGCCACGGAGACTGGCAAACCACAGAGAAAACAACATTCATAGCCTTGTCTTAAAAAGTTTGTAATTGTCAGCTTGGTATCTGTTGAGAACCTTCTGCTTGTTCAAATCATGCAGACTTTAAAAATAAAGCCCGAGCTAAGAGAGTATATTCCAAGTGCTAAGAACTGAATTTAAAATCAGTTATGTCGCTAATATTTGCATGGACACATGTAATTCCATTGGAAAAATCAAGAATGAAGCATAGTCACATTCAAGAAACAGGGAAGGAATGAGATCCAAAGCAATGCTTGTTTTGCCAGCCAATATTGTTGTGATAAAGGCAGAGTTAAATGAAGTAATAAAACTGATTATCAGTTACTTGGGTAAGTGTTGGGAAGTCTATCATATTACTCAAATTTCATTAGTATTCTCCATACATATAAATGAAGTTACAACACTGTGTTTTGTCTATAACAAGCATGAATGTTATTCAGTTAGTTTGGACACATCGGTTATAAACCTTTCTTGGCTTTTCCTGAAACATCACTTGGGTCAGGGAAATGAGTCTACATGTCAGTTCCATGTAGCCCAGGAGTGTCAAACTGCCAGCCCACGGGCCGGATGCATCATGCCGAAACCGTGCCCACCCCATTGCCGGCAATGGAAAAAAAAGTCACGATATGTCACGACACGTCACATGACGTTGCAAGTGTGACACCCCTGATGTAGCCCAAGCATTGTGCTTCCTGCTCCTCTTCTATTTTCTGCAAAGTGCGCTTCATAACAAGAGACAACTGTGCAATTCAGCTTACATTGTATTTTTATTAGGTTGCAAGAAGTTTTACTTTCCCCTAGTTGAATGGTGTGTGTGTGTGTGTGTGTGTGTGAAGCGTGTACAGAATAAATTCTGCAACTGATCTTCTGTGCTTGGGGATTGGGAAAACAAAAGAATGGGAGCAGGGGCTTTTAATATTTATGTTGTGGAAAAGAAGTAACTACTCAAGCAATTAAAACTAGTTGCTATCTTATTTATTTATATAACAGCCCCAGAACTGGAGCAATGAAAAAAACCACTGATATGCTTCAAAGCCACACAGTTGAGCTTTTCTGATTTAAAAAAGATCTTCTGGTTTCTGACTTCTGATTGTTTACTGAATTATATGTGTGTCCTGACTAATAAACTCTGGTAATGAAAGTTAACTATTCTTGGACTTAACAAATATTAAGAAAAAAACTCCTAACTTGCTGATAATTAGAATTTCTAAAAATTCTCTTATATACTTAAAACAATTTTTCTCAAAAGTCTTCAATATTAGACAATAGAGTTGGGATTTTTTTTTGCTAAGGACTGGATCTTTTCAAGAACTGCCTACAGAAGAAATGAGTTACTCTAGGAGGGTGTTTGGCATAAATGTGACTTAAAACTTATAAGCTATCTAATTTTTATTACAAGCATCGATGGCACATTAAATCTATAATATTTCCCTCTTTTCTAGTTTTCCTTATTTAGCTACATATATACATATACATATAGATATAGTGCTTGTATAAGAAGATAGTTTCCCAGAACTAAACAATCTTTTATGTTTTCTCTAGACAATTTGAGGAACCTGATGTCAAATCATTTCTAAAGCATTCATTGTAGTAAATTAGTGATGTGGTTAGCTTGACTTTGGCTTAATGTGCTATATGAACCAAAGCGTTATGGTTTTTAAACCATGATTTATGCCTAAATCAAATATGTAAACACCCAGCCAAAGCTGTTTTCTAAAAACAGCTTGATTAATGTGAGTTTAAGAGGAAACTGTATCCTCATTATAAAGATTGCAGTTAAGAATTTGATAGGCAGGATGAGATGAGTTATCATAATTGAATCAGAAAATGCTAGTAATAAAAAACAAAGTGCTAAAATTGAAATAAAATGTTCATTGGCAATGTGTAATAATATATGATTTAGCCCCTCAAAATATTAATTGATAAATTCATGATGGAATATATATAGCTTCTAGTAAATACGTTTTGCAGCTATATTCTAAGATACACTCAGTAAATAGGTAAGAACAGAGGTCTTCAAACTTGGCTCTTTTATGACCTGTGGACTTCAACTCCCAGAATTCCTCAGCCAGCATCCCTGGCTGAGGAATTCTGGGAGTTGAAGTCCACAAATCATAATAGGGCCAAGTCTGAAGACCCCTGGGTAAGAGGAATCTTAGTATTTATAAGCTTGAGAATAAATTGAAGTCAACTGGCTTATAAAACAGGACATAGCTGCACAAAATACATTATGTGCTAATAAGGGAGAGCCTGATATTAATATTAAAGAACTCAGTCTACATGGAATATAAACAATTGATACTTCACCTGGTTACTCATCCCAGATCTTGCTTATAGTTCAGTTGTTTAGAATTTCTTATTAACTGCCCCAGAATATTATATGCATTACACCTTGGTCTACAGCAGGGGTGTCGGCCCATGGACCGGATGCGTCATGCAGACGCCATGCTCACCCCATTGCCGGCAATGGCAAAACCATCCCGATATGTTGCGCGACATCACGTGATGTTGCGAGTTTGACATGTTTGGTCTACAGATACAGTTTGATTGGATTCTTGGATTTTAACTTCTGCCTTTGAACTCAGCGTCTCCACTTGTTTTCCTAAAGATTCTATGTTTTACAAATACACAGGGCAGCTTTGCATTTTATTACTGTCTTTGGACCACAGATCGTAGGCAGTTTATTATCAATTAGCAACAGGTTCTGCAGTCTGAAGCAACATGGGCACTCACATAATTCTGCATCAAGTCTGGATGGTTTCTTTCAATGCCATCATCCAAAATAGTGATCACAATATTCTTTCCAGTGTAACCTCTCCTCCAGGCACCAACAATATTCATATCTGACTGACAAAGATGTGTATTATCACTGCAATGCTAGAGAAAGGGAAGAGAACAAAATAAGGATTGCATGTAAGTGATTAGTCACAAATGCAAGATAAAAAAAAAACATTTTCATTAGCATAACCAAATAAATTGTCAACATATTGACTTTTTAAACAGGAGATCGAAAACTAATCTCCTAAATAAGAAGCAGCAAGGTAATTTTAATGAATGGCAAATGAAAAGAAAATGATTCAAACTTATTACTTCTTTTGAAATCCTTTTTATATGGAGAAATAGTTATTAGATAACATTTTGTTATTATATATTCCTAGAAATCATCCCAAGAGTTATAAAATGTCTTTTCTGGATTACCCTTCTGGGATTGCATTTGAATTTTTCAGCATTCAACATGGCAAAACTAGACCAAATGGCTGTACAAAATAGCATGGAACATATACACACATGCACACATATACAAACTCATGTACAAATGCTTATGTGTGGGATATATGTGAGAATATGGATAGAGTTATGTACTGTATAATCTATGAAATGACTACCTAGAATCTTATATTTCCAAAAAAAAAGGGAATGGAAAAAATGTTCGCATGTTTAGTGCAGCAGCAGCAGCAGTAAAAGATAAATCTATAACCAAAACAATTTCTGTGTAAAACTACAGCTTGTTGAGCTGAAGCTGACTATAATAGCAAAAGTTCTGAAAACTACTTTAACTTAAATGAAAATTGAACCATTTGTATTTTATTTTGTATGGTGCTCAGTTACAAAGAAATTAACGGACAATTGTGTGTTCATTATCCACACCCTATCTCTTAACCCTGTAGAGAAAGTGACTCCTTTTAATGACTATCCCATTGAGACTCTCCGTGGTCGTGCTTTGCTTAAGCTTCCCTGAAAAAATTCTTAGTACTAGTATCATAGCAACACATACTAGCTACAAGAGTTCTCAGAGTTCCTTCATTCTTGTTTTCCTATCCCCTTTCGTGCTTCCACTCACAGCTCTATACAGTAGAATATGCTAGTATTTTACAACGTGTAATGGTGGCCAACAGGCAACTGGACTCCATTCTTTCTTTCCTCTCTACAATATCCTGCAATCAATAAGTTCAGTTATTTAATGCTTTTGCAAAATGACTATTGAAATCTGAATAATGTATATGTAACTGTATTGTATTAATTGGTTTTTTTTGCCAAATTAAAAATGAGCTAACTAAATGAATTGTTTCTCTGCCTTCTCTTTCCATGAAATCTCCCAGTTCCTAAAAAAATATTATACAGAGGGTAAGGTATGATTTTAGAGAGAAAATACTTTAAAAGCATACATAGTTATCATATATTTTGTGAGACCAACAATTAAGACCATAGTTGTTAAGGTTCTTAAAGCCAGATTAGGTAAGACCATTGCTAAATCCATGGTTACTGAAGGTATTAAACCACAATGTACTGAACACCTTCCTTCCTTCCCTCCCTCCCTCCCTTGAAAACAAATAGATGCAAAACTATTGAAGATGTAGTCCAATAGTTACAGAAATCTTTTCTAATAGCTAGGTAAGCTATTAAAATAAATGGATCTCTCTCTCTCTCTCTCTCTCTCTCTCTCTCTCTCTCTCTCTCTCTCTCTCTCTCTCTCATAAAGTTAAAACAATCCTTCTATATGTTCTCTTGCACCCTCATTTTTCATAGAAATTGATTCCCAAATTGATTCTACTCCCCAAAGAAAGAAAACCTCACTCAATTTCCAATCCATGAATAGATCTCCCATATTTTATCTTAAAGGGAAATAGGCAAAAACCTCCTTTGGTTTTTCACCCCCAAATTGGCCTTGGCTTCCAAGTTTTATTTACACTGAAAAAACCCCTGTGTATCAGAGCTCACTAAGAAAAACAACATACTTCTGCTCTTTGCCTCAGACCAGCCCTGTGCTTTGATTTGTAGAGAAGGGTGTGAGATTATAAACCCTGTTTCCTTGAAAGGATTTGGAAACCTGCCAGAAGACAATTTCTTTTTTCTTTTGTGATGTCAGCAGGCTGTCCTTGCCTGAACCGTTTTTTTCTTCAGCAATAACTTTACTGCCTCTAGTAAGCTTTCCTTAACATGCTTGCAAACAGGCAAAATACATCCAGGCTAAGTCAAATATCCATGAATCTGTTTAATATTTTTTTAAGTTTACTTTGACACAGGAAACAAGCTAATAATGATGGTCAATAATACTATCTTAGAAAATATGAGCTGGTTGACTCCTCCTCCTCCTCTCCTTCCTTCCTTCCTTCCTTCCTTCCTTCCTTCCTTCCTTCCTTCCTTCCTTCCTTCCTTCCTTCCTTCCTTCCTTCCTTCCTTCTCTGCAGGATGAAGGCTTCTTCTGCATGTTTCCAATCAATACAGTCCTGCAATGCTTGCAGATGTCATCAATCCATCTCGTTTTACGTATCTTTCGTGGACGCTTTTTATCAAGTGGGATCTGTTCGATTACTGCCTGGATCCATCTGCCATCTGTTCTTCTTGCTATGTGACCAATCCATTTCCATTTCAATTCTTTTACTCTCAAGATGATATCATATACTTTTGTTTGTTCTCTAATCCATGTGCAGGTCTTTCTATCTTGTCTTGTGATGCTGAGCATGTATCTTTCCATGGCTCTTTGTGCCAATCGTAGCGTTTGTATCAATTGTGAGGAGTGTTTGTTAAATTCTGAGGCATTAGTGATTTTGGCAACTTTAGGTTGGGGGTGCAATTTCTTCACACCTTTTTTCCTTAACACTAGAGTTGGTGTCAAATTATCCAGATCAGCTTTGAGATGAAAGTAATAAAAGCTGTTTTAGGTTAACCAGGTTTGCATGATAGTTAATTTTCCATGATCTGTTAATTTCTTGAGAGTTATGAAAAAGCAGTTCTCTCCAGGGTTTCTTCTGGTTAGGTGTTCTTTAACTGAGACTTGCTTATTCAAGCTTCAGGGTTGCCTTTTCAATAGGGGAAGTACTCTGCAGTTGATATGTAGTTACACATCTTGGTTCTGTGCCAGTTTACAGAACTAGAAAGCCAAGCTTGACAAACATGTCAGGAAATATTCATTTTGGATAATTTTGGCATAGAACAAGATGCTCCTTTATTTTAAGTAATATAAACAAGATAATTAAAATGAGGGTTTTTAATGCAATTCTGCAACTGCCCTGAAGAGCAGGAAATCAGTCTATTGCTCTGAGATCCACCTGTCATGAACAAAAATTGGCTCAAAAAGAAAGTGGCTGATTTGGGTGAAGTCTGTCTACACTTGTTCTTTGTTGCTAACAATAAGAAATTTATCTGTTTGAAGTATATATGAGGATGTAAGACTCATCTTAAGAGGTATAGTAAGATTCTGAGTGCTTGTTGATGAAATTATTCTGGCTTCTCTAGGTGCATCCTGGCTGGCGTTCATGATGCCTTATAGAGATTGAGACAGAGGATAGATGTAAAGCTCTAAGTAGCACATCAATTTTTAAATTGATGGAATAATTCTGTCAATAATTCTATCAATTCTATCAGTGTTTCAATCTGAAATAGTGCTGCTGAGAAAGTTTGATATCAATCTGGTTTTCCATAGCTATCTGGATGCTCAAACAGATATGAAACTTTTGTGTAGGGAGAAAGAAGTAACTCACAATCAAATAGTGGGAATCCAGGTCCAATTTCAGCAGAGTTGAGGAGATCAAAACAATGACTTAAAGCAGTCAAATTCGCAATGTCACGTGACATGTCATGATGTATCATGACTTTTTTCCCATTGCCAGCAATGGGGTGGATGCGGTTTCTGCATGATGCATCTGGCCCGTGGGCCGACAGTTTGACACCCCTGACAGAGAATTGCCTCTGCTTACTACAATTACTGTGTTGGTCTCCAAAGGAAGAATTTGTTCATTGATCTTCAGTTGTTGGATCTGAATTGGATTACCTGAATTTGGATTCTGTCAGTCTTCTGTCTGACTGTCATCATTTGGCTAATTTAAGATGTTTTTGTACTTCTTAAAAAAATCTTCTACAAGAAATTAAATCTTTCCACATTTCCAGCTATCAGACTGATATCATCGGCACTTCTCAGTAATTTTAATTCCAATCTGATTCCTAATCCAGCATTTCTCTGGATATTTTCTGCCTATGTTAAATGAAGATAACTTGGTATACTTCTTTCTTCATTTTGAACAATTTACTTGCTCCATATTTTATTCCAACATTTTGGTCACCATTAACAGACATATCAGGTATCTTGATGTTCTGTCCCAGCCTATGTGAATATTGCTCAACTGCTTACTCACGAGGAAAAACCCCTTTGTATTGAACAAGGCAGGACTTGATAAGATAAACCCCTTTTATTTTGGCACAGCTTTTATGGAACAAAACTCCAACCAGTCCTTTAGCTGTTGAAATGAACAAGATCAGTTTGAGTTCTCAGCTGGAATGCTCAAGGTTTAAGTCACTCAAACAGACATAAAGCTGACAAACATGATTAAATATCCAAGAATCCTGAGGCAAGAAATCCAATGACAGAAGCACAAAGACGTAGCATGAACAGTTGTATTTGGCAACCAGCCCCTCCCACGCCTGTCCTCTTATAGTCCAGCCAGGGCATGGTTTCTTAGTGTCTTTTGCTTTCCTGGAGAGCTGCCCCACCACCCTCTGCTCTCCTGCATGCCTTTCCTCCCTGCACATCCGTGCATCTGGAACAGGCCCCAGCTGCTCCTCATCTTCACTCAGTTCAGGCCCCCAACCCAGCTGTCTCTCTGTATGAGCATGAGTAGATGGGCCCGGTGTCACATCTAGCTCTGAGTCTTCGTGCTCCTCAGAGCCTTCCACAGACTCTGATGTGACTCCAGGCAACCCTTCCCCCATATCTGATTCATCCGACTCGGCTGCTGGATCTGCTTGCAGGCAAGGACTAACAACACTTGGTATCCACCTGTTTTGCACAAAGTCAAAAGACTTTGTATTGTCAATAAAGCAAAAATCAATAAAAAAACAGATATGCCAAAACTGCTGAAATTCATTTGCCTTTACCATTA